TTTTTTAATATATATATAGGTAGATCAATTAGGTAATACCTAAATTACTTTTATAAATAATTCCGTTGGAATCACTCGCTCGGAAATATAAGTCGATTATATTTTTGTACGAAAAACCTTGAAAAATATACATAATATTATTATACGGGTCACAGACAATCAAGTGTGTAGTGGAAATATGAGAACGCAAAAGCTTTTCGTCGTTTGCTTGTGGGTAAGCTATCTAGTTGTGGGGGTTGGGGGTTGTACGGCATTGCGGAAAATGCCCGATGCATACGTGCGGCGGCGCTGTGGCCTTTATYGGGCTATGGTGAAAATCACAGACGGGGGAGGAAACGTCCGAATAGGTACCTGCTGCAGTAGTAGTAGCTACAAGTAAACTGCGACTATATACCACAGGTGGTATCGCTGGTATATTCGGATTATTATATCATATTATGCGTAAACGTGTACACAATCATTGAATACATCGAATACTGSTGCTKCTATTTTCAATATATAATGTGGGAATGGCATTTTTAAGACGAATTACATTCCGTACACATACCGCAATTCGCGATTTGGTGGCCGTCCGCAGTATATTATGATTTATGACTTATTAATCATACTATGAAACGATACTCCAAAATGACTTACACACCTATACTCGCTTTAGGCCGTGTAGGAGGAGTTGTTAGATGACCGATTCATATACAATGTTTTGCAGCGATACAACATAATAATACTAATACATAATATTTGATCATATAAATGACGACGCATCTTGAGTATATATTTTGTTAAGAAAACAAGAAAGTCGTGGGCGCTTTTGATGAATTAAATTCGAATCACACAGAAAAATCACATACGCGTACTTACAGAAGTACAAAAGGCAGAATATAATAATATATGTACCTACGCGTGGAGACACTACCGCAGTGACACGATTAAGATTTTTCACTTTATGAAATATATGTACGTCTATATGTTTGTACAAAATTAATATAATATTATACGTTGTTGTGAAGAGGGGAAGACAAAACAAATTATCTTAACACTATTATATATAAAACGTTGGTTCCCTGCAAGGTCAAGTCTATTATAATGTTATTTTATGGCATACCAAATATTACGATACCGGGTGATCSGTTTAATATAAGACACTATATCATTATTTCAAAAACTAGTAACGTTTTTGAAAATATTTTATTTCAATTCATTTTAAACGGATAATAAACAATAACGTTATAATAAAAATAAAAGATATTTATTACTATTTTTATCGCTTAAAATTTTTTTTTTTTTATGTAACACGCATTTTTCAATTCATTTCTCTAAAGCAGAATATCTTTTGGTGTACTTCAATAATACATAAAAACCGAATTTCGTCAGGTTACGATTTATAAGTACTTAAGTTTACAGTCATATTATAGTTRTACTGTATTCAAAGTTGAAAATGAAGTGGTAGAGAGGTGCCCTCAAAATGTTGGTCCACTTCTCTGCCCATCTTTACTTTAAATACTAATAACTAATAAAATAAACTATTCGTACGGAATTTATTTTTTATACACCGAAATGCTTGGAATAATATCCTGATTTGGTACCTACATGAAATTTTAATTTATTGTCTTTTAAAACAGTAAAATACTTTTAAAAAAAAAACGATAACAATAAAAATAGAAAGAAATGTAATGTTTTCCTAAAATGTAATGTTTATAGTAGGTAACGACTTCATACTATTACGTAAGAGAAATATTTAAAAAAATCATTATTTTTTTCTGAAATAAAAAATGTCGTACGTCAAATGTATCACCCCGTATTGTGGCAGTTTATGTCCATATGTCCGCATTATAGGAGGATGAAAAAATCGTGGGCAGTAGTGGCCCCGACTATATTATTTATATAATATGCGACACTTCACACACTAAACATTAGAGTAGGAAGCATATAATAGGTACACCGTATGAGAGGTACGCGATAGTATTGCTAAATTATATTTTCACACTGTAAAATTGTCATATCCCGCCTCATTAATATAAGTTTTTCTATCACTTTAGTATCTATATTTTATAGTATCTACTACGTTATATTTATTATATTTTCGGAACYTGTTGATGACACGACTCGATCGTAGGTGCATATTTATAATATCTATATTTGATTTTCCAGATACAGACGTATTCGGTGTATTCAACATAATATGACAAAATAAATAATAATATAATTTATAATA